TCTACTCGTAGCCCGCACAATACTTAACTGGTTTTCCAAAGAACTGCTTAAGGAGAGAGGCTACAACGTGTTGAGACACACAGGAAAGGCCACTCCATATCCCAAGAGCATAAAAAGCAAAGCCTATTCCAGCCTCCCTCTACCCCACTCCCATTTGTTTTGAAACTTTCTTTGCTCCCCATTTTTCAAACAGAGAACAGACACACTGGAAATAAGCAGCAATGATAACAAACACAGTAACCAGTTCATTGACCGTCCGAGCAGTGTCGGCAGTGACTCATTGTAGCGGTAAAAAGAAGAAAGTCACTCACCCTCACGAAGCTGGCGGGAAACCATCCTTCTTCATCATCGATCTGACCCCACCACCAGTCCTTGTTGGAAGCATCCAGGACCTTGATAACGTCTCCTGCTTTAAACGCCAACTCCCGGTTGGCCATGGTGACGTGATCCCATACTGCCTCAGCACTTACAATAGAACCACCACTGATCAGCTTTGAAAACAGAAAACCAGCAGTCAATAAAAGCTCGGTTCCCCGACGCAAGCACATGCACAGCAGCAGCACAGAAAAAAGCGCTCAGCCAAAGTAAAACAATTTTCCTCCATTCCAATCCATAACAATTTCACCCTCACGTGATGTAATCCAGCCTGCGACCATTTCTGCAGACCGCCCTTCTGCTCCTAACCAGGCCACGCAAGCGAGCATCGCGTGTGGATGTTCAGCACCTCTCGGGTCCTGGCCCCACGCATGGGAAAAGCAACAACCTCCCCTGCCACCGCCACCGCCACGCCGTATTTATGAGCATGCACGTCTGTCAGGGTACATGGCTTTCAGGTACAATTCGGTTAGCATAATGTATAGCTGGGACTTCCCAAAAATGGCAAAACCAAGCGATGGTGTCCTGCAAAGGAATTTTCGTTTCAGAGCAAGTTTGCTCAGTTAAAGGATCAAAAGTCAGCTTGAGGCTCAGAAGGCTTTCCATGCAAATCCAAGCAAAGTTTGCAAACGTATTTAGAAGAACACTTTTTTTTTAAACTGAGAGTTCAGTATTTGTTTAGTGCTGGTGATGTACTGACATCCCTTGCTTTTGAAACCTTCAAGCTACGCAGCAGGTAAGAAGGGCACAGTGGCATCCTGCTGACCTGTTTCAGACCCAACCTGGAGCGCAGCCCAGCTCCACGGCACATCCAAACCTCGCTCTGCCCACAAGAAACCTGCCGGCGTTGGCTGCTGTGACAGCCTTCAGGGTGCAGATACCTGCCCACTAGAAACTGGACTGAGGCCAGACTTGCGTCCGACAGGACCTACTGAACGTCTCTCCACGTAGAGCAGATGGTTGCCTTAGAGCTGGACCAGCACCACGGCAAGGACCTAACCAGCTCTCATTTTCATTGTGAGCCACCTAGTTTTATATATATAAAACTCCTGCCTAATGCTTGTGGGAAGGACCCATCCGAACACTGATGCTTGTGCATCCACAAGACAAATCATCCACCCATGCCTGGGACACCCGCTGCTCCTCAGAATGATAGTCATGTATTTTTTAACAGAATAATAAATTGTGTTTATCTTTCATCCACTGCAGGAATTCTGCACTGAACAGTAAGACTGCCCTAGCAAATATAGACTTTACCCATATGCTTATTAGCTTGTCAGAGCCACCCTGAACCTTGTTCATTAATTCTGCCGTCTGAGACGCACTGAATATGCACTTGGGCTCACCTCCAAATCAGAATTTCAGCTCACAAAGAGCTCAGCGCTGCAACCATTACAGACCTTCCACATGGCAACACTTTAACAGCCACAGATACCCTTTCAATTTAGGCAAGCAATACAAAGCACAAAGACAATAACCCGTCGCAGCGGTTATGTAAGTGCCGAAGCACTGGGAATGGTTAGAGTGCTCTTAACGGCTCTTTTATAAGTTTGGCTTACCAAAATGCCTGCTAATAACTACCTGCACAGTAAGAACTTGCAGTAAGCCTTCTAGCACTGCTGCAGGGTTCTCAGCATAAACATATAAGAGCATTCAAGTCCCTACAGGCAATTCAGTCAACAGATTAAAGGACCTGATTTACTGTTTTCCTTGAACTGACTTTCTTTTAAGAAATCAAGCTCCTTAGGTTTGTGACAATTACAGTTGCAGTTTCAGCTCTTCAATTATCAGAGTCAGTTGTACGTAAAGCAGCAAGATCTAAGAGAGCCTAACTTGACACTTAGTGCCTTTCATCCTCAAAGCCAAGATGTATCTAGTCAGCGGACCTCTTGTTCCTGCAGTAGATAAAGTAAAACAATGTTCTTCCTACTTCGATTTTGACAAATCGTCCTTTCTAGTTCAAAATCAGCTGTAAAAGAAACGTGGCTTCTCTGTATATCATATAGGGGATTTCCACACACGAGCCTCACAAGATCACCTGATAGCAGACAGAAAAAAAGGTTAATAGCAAGCTCTCGTTGAAGAGTCAAGCAATGGAGCTAATCGATTGCAGAACTTATCGCAGAGGGTGTCTGCTGTATTAGAGTGGATTTCTCTCACGTTTGGGCATTTGGTACAGAGCTGCAAGGAGCTAGGCACCAGAGGACCCCATCCAAACTAGTGGCAGCTGAAGCCAGATGGGTAAGGGCCCTCAGTTCACCCCAGCTCTGGGCCCTCACTTCGCAAAGTAGGGTAGCTACATCTGGAAAAATAACAGTTATAAAGATTGATTTCTGTTTCCAGTGCAACAACTGAGTGCTCAACCCAGGTAGTGATATGTTCCAGTGCCTCCTCACAACACCTCGCATCGCTCTGAATCAAGATTTCTAGATGCTTTCATAAATATGAATCAGTTTAAACCACAAAGAACCCCAGAACAGATCTGGAAGGAATGAAGACTTCACAGCTGAAGAAAACCCCCTTAATACATTCAAGACCAGTTAACAGTCATCTGTTCTTCTGCCAGGACTGAGCTCTTCTCCTCCCCTAGTGTTTCCCCTCTGCCGTATTTATGGACACTGTCCCTCCTCGCCCCAGCCTGTGGTTTCCCAGGTTAAGCAAGCTCTGCTCTTTCAGCCTTGTCCTGGCAGACGGCTCTTCCTTCCCCTGAGCATTTCACCAGCCCTTTTCGGCATCTAGATATTTTGCCCGCATCTTTCTTGAACACAGATGACCAGAACTGTAAATTCTATTCCCAAAGAGACCTTACCAGAGATTTGTGAAACAGCAGGAAATATTTATTACAGTGTCACAGAAATCTTGCAGTAAGACATAAGATCTCCCCCTTTTTCCCATGGCTACCTCCCACCAGCAGCTCATGGTGATCTTGCATTTAGCTTATCTAAATAAAAGAGGTAGAGTACATTCTCTTTGTCTAGAAAGTCAGTTTTCTTGTCACAAAATAAATCAGGTTGGCCTGACACTCGTTCCTTTTGTCAGTGCCATCGGGTATTTTAGTCCATTTTTCACTGATGATGAACCAGGAACGGAGCTATTACGCAGAAGCCGTGTTTCTGCTTTTTCTGCTTCAGCTGACATAGACTTTGCTGTCACTTCACACACAGGCAGTTCTGGGCACAAACTGCCACAGAAACGTCACTGAAACCAAACTTCAGAGGGATAGTGTTTTAGAGCTTCCTAGCCTACTTTGCGAAAGTGCATTTCCGAGCCTGAGGCACAAAATCCCAGCTCCAAGGAGCTTGGCCAGTGCAAGGGCTGGCAGGGACTTGCAAAGGGCCAGAAAAGCAGGGGGCCTGAGGCACAAAATCCCAAGCTCCAAGGAGCTTGGCCAGTGCAAGGGCTGGCAGGGACTTGCAAAGGGCCAGAAAAGCAGGGGGGTGTGCTCGGCCTTTTTCTGCTCTTAACGCAGAGATCTGGAAGATGCTTTCAGCGGACGTCAGGAGCCGAGGTGGCTTTGCAAGGTGTTTCTTGATACTCAAGGAGAAAGGCTGCAAGTTCTTGGTTTTCACCGTCTAGTGCCAGCAGACAGAAGAAAGGCCCCTTTAGCTGGTCCTTTCCAGCCCCTGGCACATATCACTAGCCCAAGAAAGGGATCCACATGCCAGGAAGCCTGCAAGCAAGCCTTGGCCTTCCAAAACACAAATACAGTTCAGCCTGTAAAAAAGGACAGCAATGGGATGGCAGAATTCGAGTTCCAGCCATTGCACGTGCTGGGTCCATTGACAGAAGGTCAGAGCCTAAAATTAAAAGATCCAGTTTAATTTATTTTGCAAGACATCTTGCTGCATCTGTGGAGCCGTCTGACTCTTTCAGGGCAGGGTTACAGAGACAGATCCTGACATCTGCAGCAGCAAGAGATGATGAACTAGAGAAAGGTCAGGATAAAATGTTATTTTCTGAGAGAATTCAACATAGGAGCTCTTCGCTCCAGAAAGTTCACGTCTCTTGGTTTCAAATCTGGGTCTTAGCGCTGTGGTCAGACACACTCAGCCAAAGACCTTGAAAGGGACTTACCTCCCGTAATTTTAGATGCCTGCCACACAGCATCTGAGACAGTCATCTGGACTCCTTTCTAACCAGTGAAGAGAAAGAGACACATCTGGAGTGTGATTCACCTCGGCTATTTCAGTTGCCTACCTTCGAGTGAGGTGAATCATGCCCTAGAAATTACTACTTCTCTGTGTTTAATTGGGTGATGCAGAAGTTTACATTTCCAACATCTTACGTTCATCCCATTTACAATTTGGCCATCACTGAAAAGGGGTAATAAAGAACTGGATTTAACAACAATAATCACAATAGGAAGAGTCAAATATTAAATCACACTCCCCCAGACACAGCAGTTTCTCAGTATGCGAAGGTGGTTGTAAATAAAATTATGCTCTCCGTGCCCATCGGAAGAATTCACAAAATCCCAGCCTTGTAAATTTACAATAATGAAGACTTAGATATTTGGGAAAAGCGTCCTACTCATAAGAAGGGGGAGGTAGCTAGAAGAAATGCAATAGGTGATAATATACATTTGGTTTTGACATACCCTGGATACTGCTTGTCTTCCAGGTGAACGTCCTAGTTCCCACTAAAATCAATTATTCTTGTCAGTTGGTTGTTCAAACTAAAGAGCCCAAAGAGAAAAGTTCCTCGACGCTTTTACCATGTAACAGTGCAGGAGAAATGCCCAAGAGCATTTCTTAACAACAGACCTGAGAATAATTTTGACTGTTTTACGGGAGACTTCAGAGGACTGCCAACCGCTGTCTGTCTGGGGTGAAGAAAAAACTTTCTCAGCGCGCAGAAGACCAGATTAACTATCGGGATGCTGGGCATGGACTAGGGACCAGAGTCACTGTTCAGCATGGGTCCTTCTTCACCTCCTAGCAAACACCTGGTCATGGCTGAAGAGAAGTACCAGGCTAGACAGATGAGGGGCCGCTTCTATGTCCCAGCACCACAAATAAATTTACTTAATGAGGAAGAGAAAAAGGGAATAAAGACAATGCTCCTTCTAATTATATGCACAGCTGACACGTTTCTGGAACACACACCAAGAGCAAGA